CTTCGCGCCGACGCCCCGAAATCCCTGCAGACCTGCAAGGAATCCCAGCTGCGAACGATTTCCGTCGAAAGATTGAGTTCATCAAGAACGCAGTCAAGGAATGGGTGACCAATGGCGGTCTGGGTAACAGCGCTATGGACCGTGACCACAGACTACGCTGGGGAGGCTACCGCGAGACTGTCATGGGCAACAGCTTTATCAAGGGTGTCTGGGTGACTGTCGGCGCTCGATGGGGTGACAGCAGACTGTCGGCCTACATTGATCCGTCCAACCCCATGGAAATGGGAGAAGAGATTGACGAGTCCAAGAGGCGGCGCCACTGAGGCGGGTTACACTTCTTGATTTTGTCAGGTTTAAGGAGTTATGAGCCAGGAGCGAGCGATAGAGGACTTTGTATTGTTACGCATATGATGGATAATTATAGTTCGGCCAGCCCGGTTCGCCTGGCTGGCGCTCACGAGATCACGCCATGGTCGCCACAACGGGGGATGGCTTTTGGGTTGGGCATGCTTGGAGTTTTGAGGTCTTTGCGGAACATAGCAACGGCGTCTTGGGAGCATAACAAAGTTTTATGAGTTCCAAACTGGAGCCGTTGAGCGTCTCGCCTAGAGGTGATGTGACAGGACCTTACCGCGTTTTACTCTGTTCGACTTGCACTACCTCGGGTTTGCCTATACTATGTATTCGGCTCTCGGTTTTGCTGGTCACCGCACTACCAGCCATACTTTTCGGCCCTAACCCACATAAGAACCTCCCATTACCAGTCTTTAATTCGTCCGGCGACCTGGTGAGAGTGATGCTGTCTTGCTATGCCCAACGGGTCTCGTGACAAGAATCAACATCTGCGCCAGCTTTGTCAAGGTTGAACATCAAGACTTTTCGGTTTGACCTCTGCTTGACCCCAGCTTGTTTCTGCAAGTTGATCTCCCACTTGGGACCTTGCCGCTGGCTTCCGCGATGTTGGGTCGTGTCATAAATCGGTCGGACTTGTAGTGAAGGTGCGCACAGCAGCTCAAGATGAACGCAATTTCGATGGTGATGAGATGAAATTCCTCCATCTTCGAGAGTGTAAACGAGGGGGGATTGGCACCAGGTGTTTAACCTACTTTGACAACTGAACAAAATCTCGTTTTGTTTGACGATGATATGCTGTGGAAGCCCAGTCCCGACGGCAACCTCGACGCCAACGAGGTCCTCCCCGGCGCCGGGCTCAAATATTTTGCGGACTAAGTCGGCCCCGAACTGCGCAACATGCCCTTGAACGAGCTTGAAAGCCGTATTTTGCCGACTTGGTGCTATGTGATCAACGTTATTCGACCAGGCTCAACATCGCTGCCACGCTCTTCGGTTTTGCGGCATGCTCCTAGTGTCAAATGCTTTGCGCAACCCATCTTACTAGATTGCTATACATATTACCTATATAGGTTAGCCGGGGTGCGGGCCAGAACATAACAGGGAGATCAAACGCAAATCACTGGCGGCCCTGTGCTTAAGGCTACTACATGGTAGCAATCAGTTGCTCACTTTACGACGTAAGTGTGTCATTGTTTACCGCATCGCCTGGTGATGTGCCAGTGAGGTTGTTAACTTTTCAGCTATTTCGAGTTCTAACGGGTGGTAGGCATTTCCGCGCATCATTTATCAACCCCACTCGGTCATATCCTTTATTCTGGTACCGCAGGGGCCTCTGGCGGAAGGTTTGAAGAACAGTCGGGATACTGTGGTTATCCTAAGTCGTAGTATATACTTGAGGAAAATGAGGCTTTCTATTGCGGGCTGGTTGCCCTGTCGAACGGTGAGATGTCCAAGTGGATCACGTGGGGACCCACCACCATCAGCGATTGCCCGCAATGCCCGGCACCGCCGTACTTATTTCAGCAGACTCAATACCTACTCGTTTGCGGTGTGTTCCTCGAGTCAGTGTTGTACTATACGCTTCCCCAAATTTTTTCGCGGCGGCGTAACAACATGCTGCGTTACTTAATTTCAGCGGGATGCCGGACCCCGCCATGATCCAGTGTACGGCTTGTTGTATAACAACTTTTCGAGAAAAAAAATTAACTTTTATAGTCTATTGCGGCAGGTTGACCTGTGCATTGGAGCAATAACAACCAAGTCTTAGGTCAGACTGCTATGGAAAACCCCCAGTGCGGAAGCTGCCCTGGACAAATCAGTACTGCCACCATGCGGTCTGGCTTCACAGTGTTCTCAAGATGCTACTGTCACTTTCTGATCTCCTGGTCGCGTCATGAATGATTACCGGTTCATAGCGTGTCTTAAACTATCTGTTATCCAAAGAGCATCTAAAAGGTCTAGAAAAGGCTTATGTTCCCTATAATCATCATATAATCGCATAACCAGAGTGGAGGCTTTCGCCGATCAGCAGGAAGTGGGCCTCAAGCATACTACTACATAGTGCCCGTACATTATTTTTACTCCGGCGGTTGCATTCATCGGACTGCCCGACTAACATTAGAGTACTACAATCAAATTAACCTTGGCGGTAGAGAGCAATTGACTAACTAATTGAACTTGGGATAATTTGCTTCATGCTAGGTGAGTTCCGACACACATGGAACCGGCTTTGACATACAGGTATATAGACAATGGTTCATCCGATAGTCCATCTCTCTATCTCCCTGCAACTCAACAACCTCTTTTGTTGATTACATTCGTCCATCAACGCGCAACACCTATCTTTAACTCGTCACTCTTTGTTGCCGGACATGCTCTCCAAAACTGTCGGCTCTCTTCTGTGCTACCTCGCCTTGTCTCATGGCGTTGGTGCGGCGGTACTGCCACGCAAGGATGATAAGCCAAGCGGGGGGGATAATGCCAACGGACATAAGTGGATTAACCACGATGCTGTCGCCGCACTCCCTCAAACACTCAGTCCGACCAACGGCGAGATTGAGCTTCGGTTCAACCCCCACCTCTACGTAAAGGGAGGCTGCGATCCCTATCCCGCTGTCGATAAAGATGGCAACCTTGGGTAAGTAGGCGCAACTGCAGCATCCCTAGCCATTTCCCATGCACCCCCCCGGCCTTTAAATGACAACAGTAGCTAACCACGCTCAAAATAGTGGTGGGTTGAGACCTAAGAATGGTGGAGCAAGTGGTTGCGATAAAGGCGGCACTGGTCAGGTCTATGCGCGCGTCGGACAAACTAGCGCAGGCCGCCAGGCGGTCATGTACAGCTACTATATGCCCAAGGTCACCTGGAAAGAGGACGGGCACCGCCACTACTGGGCCAGCGTCGTCGTTTGGCTCAACAGATGGGGCTGTGACACCAACGATCCTACATCTCTCTGGCCCGTCGGCATATCTTATACAACCGATCACCTAAACTGGGCATCGGCTGCTACTGGGAAAGTCTCCTTCAAGGCGTCAGACGTGGGCAGCGCCCAGGCTACCCAGGCCGAAGTACAGATATGGGATCGGGCAATCTCCACTTTTGATGGGGCTGACGGCCCCCTCGTCTTCCCGCGTACTGTTGCCAGCTGGGATGCTCTTCCCGACGCGACAAAACAGGCCTTGACAGACGTCCAGTACGAGCATACCCAAGTGCCCTTGAACGAGGCCAACTTTCAGGCCTCTCTGGACGCTGCGTACAACAGTGGCATCTATGGCTCCCTGCCGGCCACACCCGACTGTGTCGCTCAGAGTGACACGCCCGGGTCTGGTATTCCGAATGCCCCGACCGACCCTCCGGCTGGGCCGATTGACCCCCCGGCTGATCCAACTGACCCTCCGGCCGCCCCGTCTGACCCTCCGACCGACCCGTCTGACCCTCCGGCCGACCCGTCTGACCCCCCGG